ATGCGTAGCTGCTTAGGAACATTGAAAGCACTACGAGAATTCCTCCACATGGAATTGGTCGCTCAGTCCAAGCCTGAGACACCCCAGGTGGCAAGTTTGTTTTGAACACAAATAAGTAACATGACGTCAGGAGAGGGCTGAGCAGAGCATATATTCTCAACGTTTGGCTCGCAAGACCCCTCCCAGGAGGAATACGATCACCACCATATTCCAATCTCTAAGACAAATTGCTAGAGGAAAGAGGGCAAAGGTTGAACTAGTCCCAAAGAAAGAGATAATTTAATGATGGGAGGAGCTGGGGAGAGAGGGAAGCTTTATTCCCCAAACACAACTGGGAAGAAATTTCAGGAGGCAGCGAAGGGTTACAAAGGGGATCTTTAATGCTCTTCGACATGAAGAAAGGTTGTAGGTACAGCTTTATCACGTAGCCAGATTCCTGTGGGCCATTTCGTATGTCAAATGTTTTACTGTCAAATATCCTTTGCCTTTCACCAACCTACCAGAAGAAGGAGTTTCTCTTAAAGAAACAGAGCATCTCCCTGTCTTCCTGTAGCCATATAAACAGCTCCTGAAGCTCCCAACCTTCCCAATGTCTGATCGTGATTTATGCATGAATATTTACTCAGCTCAGGCTCTGGGAAGGAACAAGGCAAAGTCTTCAACCTCACGTAGTTTCCGATCTAGTTTTTGAAAAACAGTTTCCAATCTGTTTTTTCCAAAACAGACAGCAAGAAAACGTGCAATGTACTAAGTCGCTCTGAGGACAGGAGGAAGAAAACTGAACAATAAAGAGTGGGGGAGGGGCGCCTGGGTGGCTCAGTCAGTTAAGTGTCTGCCTTTGGCTCAGGTCATGACCCCGGGTCATGGGATCGAGCCCCACATCAGGCTCTCTGCTCCTCGGAGAGCCCGCTTCTCCCTCTCCCTCTGCCTGCCACTCCCCCTGCTTGTGCTCTCTCTCTGTCAAATAAATAAATAAAATCTTAAAAAAAAAAAAGAGTGGGGGAGGTGAGATTTTAAGGGAGGTGAGAAAGAAAATCCTCCTTGAGGTGATGCTCAAGAAGAGGCATAAATTAAGTGCTATCTGGGGGGAACAGTGTCTTAACAGACGACACTTGTCACAAGACAGAGAGCCGTAGCTTGAACGTCACACACAAGTCATAACCTGGAGGAGGAGCTCAGTGCTGATACTGTGCCACAGGGCCCAGCAACCCAGACTGGCAAAGAGCTTTAGGTTTCTGCAACAGGACTGATGGTCTTAGGGGATTAGCAGAAGGTCTTATGGCCTGAAAATTAAAATAAATCCACCAGGTAGTGAAAAATAATATATATTTGCATGTGTATACATATATGTGTGTGTGTGTGTGTGTGTGTATATATATATATATATATATATATATTATCACTGCGAAAAGAACCCCAAAAGGGTAAGAGCAGCACCATTCTGTCAGACGCCTCCAGAATGGATGTCTTTTGAAAGTACCCAGAACACGACTGCATACTGGTTACAAGATGGGCTTGGGCATCCATCCTGACTTTGGTGGAAATCCAGGCTCTACCGCTTACTGCCTGTGTTCCCTCCAAGCACTCTAGTTTCCTCATCTGTAAAGTGAGGACAGTGCCTAGTCGTCCCGGGTAGAGTTTTGAGGATACTATGAGATGATGCATTTAATGTGCACAGCCCAGTGCCTGGCACTATGTTAAGATAACCGTGAATGTATGAGATATTTGACATGGAATACGATGTATGCATTATTATTAATCAAAACATATTATTTGATCATATGGCTTTATAATAGCCAGTCATTTCAAATGATTTCTATTTAGCTTACAGGGGAGCTTCTTATTGTAGTAATCTTGATATTTTGGATGCTTCACTCGTAAAGAGATATAAGGCCATTACTGATCTGAATCTGTTAAAGCATGAATGAAATACCAACGTCCACAACTGTACTAATAGCAGGGGCAGGAAACCAAGAGACAGAAATCTGGCTGTTCTGAAACCCAGAAAAAGGTTTTCCTGCTTGCCTACCATGACAAGACATTCTGTACAGGACGAGTAAACTTTATTCCACAGAAGTACTTTTCCAGAAGCAGAGGGATCTTTCGTCTCTTCTGAATCCTCGGCATGCGCCTGGGTCAAATCACAAAGGTGCTCTATGCAAATAAGACACGACAACTGTGCTCTCCTGAAGAAGCTGCCAATGGCAGAAGGAAATGGATGGCCCGGGGAGGAGAGCCCCAGAACAAAGGGAGACAGACACCACTGTTCCTGCAACACTCAATCACAATGCCACCGCCAGGAAGCGGGCATCTCCGAGGCACCAAGGGCAGCTGGTTCAAAGCCTGGTGAAGAAAAGGTCCCAGGCACCATGCGGGATTATTTGTCATTCTGAGATCTAGAAGGAAAAGGGGTCCGCTGGACCATAAAAGGCTGATGTCGTTGCCAACTCTACTCATGTTCAAACCAATAACATGTTCACAATCAAAGAGCCTCTCTCTATGGGGTAGGTGGTACAGATGGCAGTATTTTGTAGATGGGAAAAATGGAGGTACAACAAGAGCCCCTATTAACAATAGTTGGAAAAATGGTCAGCTTTGCCTCCAAGGATGCAGAATGCTACACTGTCTTAGGGAACAGTGGTACTGGTCACTCCTGAGCAGCTTGTTGTGCCAGTGTGGTGAGAGTCCCTTACGTTCAGCATCTCATCTTCACCAAAAATCTGAGGCCAGCGAGGGTTTTACCTTCATTTTACAGATGGCGTAACCAAGACTCTCTGAGGGTCACTGAGCCACTGAGTGATCTGTCTGAAGCTAGAAACTCTAGCTTGAAAGAGCTACTAAATTTCCTCTCCAATTTACGGTGACCTGGAGATTCACGCAAAATAAAGAGATTCGAAGAACCGGATGGACAAAAATTACTAATAAATTGCTGTGATGAAAATAGGAGAAAGAGATCAAACAGAAGGTAGAAACAAGTTTACGTTAAATATATAAAGTGAGTCAGGAAAGGTTTTGGTGTCAGAAGTAGCAAGCAGGGAGAAAGTGAAGTCTGACTGACTGGATTCACCCAGTGACTGGATCATTCCGTCCATCCCTGGGAGAATCCTAAATGACCACCTGTCGTGGCAGGGTGGGGGGTGGGGGGCAGTCACAGCAGCTCTATCATGGCATCACAACATGATGAGGGCCCAGGAAGGTCGAGTCTAGGGAGTAAATCTCACATACGGATTTTGAGGTCCCTCTGTCCATACTGCATTCTCCCATCCAGGACCCAGTTGGCGACTCCCACCCCTATGTCTTTCATAGGGAAAACCCTTCCTTCTCCTTTGAGATTCTGCCCACTGGATTATACCTTTCTCTTAAGAAAGGCATTTATGGAACTTCACAATACCCTCCCCATGGCAACCATCCCACAGGCAAAAACAGGAGTCTTGATGGGCATATTCACTTTGAAGCAATGGCAAGTTTGCCTTCAGACCTGAGAGGTATAGAAAGAGAACTCTTATTCCAGAGAGTTCCATTGGGATTTTTATGGTGCAGAACTGACAGATGCCACTCAGTCTTAGAGGACTGTGACCCTGAGTACTGAGAGACAAGCAAATCTGAGAGCATAAGGGGTACTCCTAGATTATAACATTTTCATAATGAAGGTAAAATATCACGGAACATCACTTTCCCATTAAGGACGCCAGGAAATGGTGGAACTTGTCATCTCTGTATTTTCTCCTTTTATATTTTACTTGGAATTGCAGGGTTATGTTTACTGATGAATGATAGAGGTACTTAAAGGTGGGTTCACACATATATTTTTTAAATCTAGTTATTGTGAAGGAATTAGGGAAGGATAGGGTATATGGGTAGGCAATTTATTTAATCAACCTGAAATATGTAACTAAAGAAGTTAGTAGAAAGTAGCTGAGAAGTCACACATGACAATTATATAATAACCAGGAATCAAGAAGAACCAGATGGATGTGGATAAAGCACTACATGAAGGGAGCGGTATCCTATCACCTGTATTTCCACCACTGTGTAAAAGTCAGGTGTGACCCAAATTTGCATAAACCTCTAAGACCTGGGAGCAGGGTCTTAGCCACAGGCTAAAAAGTATCAAGGAAAGCCGCTTAGCTTCACTTTAGAAAGACAAATCCTGAGACAGTTTATAAAACTATGATCAAGAAAAAAGTGCAAAGGTGTTTGAAATTTCGTATCAGAGCCACAGCGCTGGGCATCCCCAAAGCCAGAACCTTCCTTGAGGGGTCAAGCAATGTGCAAAGCACTTTTTATTTACTTCGTCATCATTTCTGTAGTAACTCCATAAGCTATGTGATCCTAAATGCTCACATTTTACAGATAAGGATGTTGAGACAGAAAAATTAAGTAATGGGTCTAAAGTGACGCAGCTTATAATGGATAGCTCAACAGTCAACAAAACCCATGCAAGCCGGGCCTGCAACCCGAACTCTTACTCAGTTTGCTGTGTGAAGAGAGAGTAGGGCGTGTGGGTAAGCAGGTCACACAGGACTCCTCTGCTTTTCATTCAGGCAAGCAGGTGCCTCAGCAGTAGGAAAGCGCCTTTTGACAGGGTTAGCTCACACTGAGTTAGCCATAAGCACTTTGAAACCAAAGCACGGGAGGTAAGTTTTGAAGGCAGTGTGGGAACAGGGTGACAAGGAAACTGGGCTGAGAGTCAGAGCTTGTCTCTCTTCTGCCTCTAACTCACAAGGTGAATGTGGACCATTCATCTGTCTTCAACCAAATCGAAGCTTACTCATGTCTAAGACCACATCCAATGCTGGAATGTAATGACCCGGAGAAGCAAATCTGATGAATTAATAATAGAATGACAACATTTACAAATACTTGGGATTGAGCAAGCAGCTAACTTCCGTATATTACTTGTCTATTTCCGTATATTCTTTGTGCATGTTTATGGTTCTTCCTTTGTCTTTCATAGGGAAAGATAAATGAATAAATCATGACACTCAAGTGTTACATACTATTTTCTTATCGTACGACTCTCCGCTGCTGTAGGTGGTGGCCAGTGTGGATGAACACTCTTCCAGGTACCAAGGCTTCTTCCCACTCTCAGCTGTGCTGCTGATGGAGATGGTGTAGATGCTGTTGGTGTAGCCATCACAGGAACAGTGGTCTTTGCTCCTTCCACCATTTCCCGAGGCCCAGACAAAAACAGAGCCGAGGCCTCTCCGCCCCTGTTCACAAACAGAAAAAGTTAAATGAGAGAAGACACAGATCACACACTCTAGATGCAGAGAAGATCAATAGCAACAGGGCACATCAAATATTTGCGGGAGGGGTGTGATGCTATTTTAGTAACATGCTGGATGTAAGCTGTTTTCTGAGGTAAGAAGAGTTGCTTTTTTTTTTTAATTATTTATTTTTATTTATTTATTTATTTATTTATTTATTTATTTATTTATTTATTTATTTATTTATAGCACGAGCGGGGGGTCGGGGTGGTGAGGCAGAAGGAGAGGGAGAGAGACAGAGTCTTAAGTAGACTTCGTGCTGAGGGCAGAGCCCGACCCTAGGCTCGACCTCACGACCCTGAGATCATGACCTGAGCTGAAATCAAGAGTTGGACGCTTAACTGACTCAGCCACCCAGGCGCCCCAAGAGGAGTTGTTTTTAGAAACTAAAATAATCTGGATGTGATGTACAGCCTGGTGACTATAGTTAATAATCCTGCATTGTTTGTTTGAAAGTTGCTAAGAGAGTAGATCTTAAAAGCTCTCATCACTAGAAAAAAAAATGTAACTATGCATGGTGATGGATGTTACTTAGACCCACTGTGGTACTCATTTCCCAATATATACAAATACCAAAGCATTATTTTGTACACTTGAAATGAATATAATGTTATATGTCAATTATATCCCAACAAAAAAACCTAAAATAATCCTTTTCATATATCACAGTCATAGAAGCCATGAGACACGAATGATGACAACAGGACGGCTAACATTCATTAGGTACCCACCATGGACCAGGCGCAATTATAATTGTTTTATGTGAATCAGACTGAACTCTTCCAACAACCCTGTGGGAATGGCATAATTTTTGTCCCCATTATACAGATGAAGAATTGAGCTACAGAAATTAAGAAACGTTCCCATGGTCACATAGCTAGGGAGTGGAAGGACAAAATTTGAACCCACACAGCCAGACCCCAGAGCTGGAATATCATTAGCTGTAATTACTGCAGACCTTTACTAGTGGTATAACTCTCACATGAAGTGGCGCTCTTCTGCTCCCTCAGTTGATGTATGAGCAACATGAGGTATGGAGAGGTTATGTGATTTATTCTTAAGTCACCTCATTGGTGAGGAGCAGAATTAGGGATGAAGTGCCTTCCAGAGCTGTGTCCCCTCTATGTATGGCATGGACTCTAATTATGAAGGATGTTAATGGATGCTACCAGAAATAAAAGAATTTCAAGATTAAGTGTGTTTGGGAAACTCTAAGCAAAATGAAACAGATTCCTGTACTGTAGAACTCAATAAGGGGTTGTTCATTGCAAAACTCTATGGGAGGCACAATCAGATGTTTTTTTCCCAAACATACTTGATGGCGGATACCTTCTTCGACCCAATGCGTGAAATTTTTCTTACAAGGCTAGGAGATGGGGTTACATTCTTTTTGCCGAAACTTGGCATCCATTCACAGAGTTTCCTGAGGTCATAAAATAATTAAGGAGAACAAGCAAAGTAGAACATAGATGTAGTGAAGCATAATGACTATTTGGTTCCATAAGATAAGATCTTCAGAAGAGAGAAGTTAGCCAAAGTGAAGTATATTTCTCTGAATAGCTAGAGCTGAATACCTCAGAAATTTTACCTTTTTAAAACTAGAAGTCACACTTAAGGACACATAGGCCAAATCTATCATTTGGTAATTAGAGAGTGAGAACCAAAGTCACTAGCTGGTGATGGCTGAACCCCTTTTTTTGCTTCCAGGCCCTAGATTTTATGGTCTCAGGTGGAAGGAAAGTATTTGGGATGCTGTTTTGGAATTTCTGGTAAAAGAGCCAAGGAGAGAGAGAGGACAAAGAATTTGAAATATTCTTGATAAACTGTCTCTGACCTTGAAACCTCAAGGAACAGAATATTTATGACATGATTTGACCTGAACATAGATTTCTTTTTGTCTTTCAATGTGGAAAAATGCAATATGATCGCACAGGAATGGGAAAAACTCATGAAGAGAGAGGGAGAGAAAGTTCTGGATGCTATTGCCACGAGACACCTGGGTCTGGTTTACCATCCTTCCGTTTGGCATCAAAATATTCAGGAAATGTACAGAAGGATGCAAAAATCACTACGGCATCATAAACGAAGGATTTTGTTCAATGCTTTGTAAATCTCTAGAAGGAATTACTCCTCACCATGGTGTGGATGGCCAGATTGAGAAACTCTGGTGACTGACTCATATCCTCACCTCAGAGACAGAACATCATAGCCAAAGAAGGAAGGGTCCAATTCCTCATCAATATGTACCCTCTCTATCACACACCGAGGGGCTGTGTTGCTGGCAAAAAGCACAGTCACACTGGAGCTCTATCTGGCAGGTCAACAGAACGCATGACATAATGCGAAAACCCTCCTGGTTTAAACAGCACTGGAACAGACAATAGATTAAGAACCACAAAACCATGAAAAAGCATGTCTGGCATAATCACACATATATACCTATACAAAATTATGACTGGGTGCCCATGTATAAAATTCACTGAAAAGATCTTTAAAAACGTACTTGGTTTTAAAAGAATATTTAATAAGAAAATGTTTAGAAGGCACTTTTATTGTTCACAATGTAATTACAAATGGAGGATACAAAATGATATAATATGGTCTTAGTTCAGAAAAACAAAATGTTTGTGTGCCTGTGCGTGCGCATGTAAAGAACTTAATGTGTATAAAGTTATATGCATAAAGCTATCATAAAATGACAATGTAACAGAACTTAATTCTGTTTGGTAAGATTAGGAAAGATTTTTTTTTTCTTTTTCATACAATCCTTCTATGACCATATGATTTTTATAAACAGAAACAAACACATTTATTCTCCTCTTAAGAGGGGAAACACAGGGCCAATTCTTAAGAGATAATTTTTACTTTATGATTAAGAGGGCTTTTAAACACAGAAGGTTCGTTGTGCACTGAAAATAGCAGAGACTAACATTTATAGAAACTTACTAGGCACCGAGCACTGTACAAATGTTACTCTGCACAATTCAAGTCTATCTCATCATTTCACAGAGGGGTAAACTCGGGCTCAGAAATGCACATGAACACCAGAACCAGAGCTTAAAATCCAACTGGAGCTAAAGCCTGTGCCCCTAACCCTCAACAATAGTCTTCTTTTGGGCAAAAAAAAGGCAGCTGGTGGTTGCTGTACTGTTTTCAGCCAAAGCTCCAGTGTCTTCATTGAAGTTTGGCTTTAGAACCTAAGAGCAGACCAGCCTCCAAGTTCTTTCCAGACTTGGTGGCAGGATTAAAATGATAAAGAAAGGATTCATGCATGGTCCTGAGCATTCTCAGGGAGAAGGACGTAGGTTCAGATGCAAAATTCTGCCTAGAAATCCCAACCTGACCAGGGCTCCCTCAGAAGTAGGACCACAAGTCATTCTATCATGGCAGCATCCAGAGGGCACACCACTGTGAAGGAACTAGGACATTATTATGGAGTCCTCCGGAGATCCGCTGGGTTGACAGAATGAATGGTTGAAAGAACAGTGGGTTGCCATTGCCCTGGAAATGTCCTTTCCAGAAAGAAGCGACATCCCTCTATCAAAGATAATTTGATGGAATTATTTTACAGCTGGGTACGGTGAAGGGAAACATCAAGGACAGTAGGAGATCAATAACCACCCCAACATCCTTAGGACAGAAAGAAGCTGGGGAGTTGGGGGCCTGTCACTGGAACTGGAAACGGAGGGGCTAGTACGAGTTGAGAAATGACTAGGGGACATACCAACCCATGTTGGCCTTGCTGGGAGGGGGCCAGGGGCATATATACTGAGACCCTAGTCTATTTCTCCTTCTCTCCCATCTCTCTCCCAGAAGCCAGAGGACCTGGGAGCCCATAGGGATCAGTATCCCTGAGCATGGAGCTTGTGGAAAGAAGAGGAGCGAGGATCTGGAGAATCTCATGGGAGACACCTGGCATTGTCCCTAAGGTGTGTTATGAAGTGAGTTGGGTCTCTCCCCTTCAAATTCATTCAGTGACACCTTAACCCCCAATGTGATGGTATTAAATAGAGTGAAGACACTGCAGGAAGGTGGCTTCTCTCTTCAGCTGAGGAGAGAGGTTATTACCAGAACCCAACTCTGCTGGCACCCTCATCATGGACTTCCAGACTTCCAGCCTCCAGACTTCAAGAAAATACATTTCTGCTGTTAAGCCACTCAGTCTGTGGTATTCCATTATGGCGGCCCAAGCTGACTCACACAAGGAGAGAGGGGTAGATGAGGAGATAAAGGGCGGCCTCCCCCGCCCCCCATGGAGGCGACAGAATATATAGATGCTGCCGCCACACTATCCACCAGGCATTCTGACCCTTATGCATGTGTGTATGGTTTATGATTAAAGTCCCAGAAACTAACAGGCTAATTTGTGGGCTGAAAATGCCATAAAGATCTATGCCAAAGATCTATGGGGTTAATCTGAAACAATTAGCAATTCAAAGATTTGTTTACTACAGATGCACAGCAGATTCCCATTAGTGTGTAATATTCAGAAAATCAAAACATATGTGGTAAAAGAGAATCTGGACATTTCTCCAAAATTCAGAGTAATTTCAGAATTAAATTTTAATGTGGGATATAGGGAGAAAGGAAGAGGGGCAGAGTAGGATAGAGAATCTTGAGACACATATTTTCCCAAAGTGTAGGAAATGACATTTTCAAGTCTGGTAAAGTATTGTGATTGCAACTGGTTATTTAAATATGGCTTTGGATGAAAAAAGAAAAAAAAAATCCTCCAATTTAATTGAGTACTAAGTTAAAAGTGAACTCAAGGCAAAATATTTTGTGAAATTCATGTAAGATCCATTCGACCAAACTCTATTCTTTTTCATTGTGTATTTAATTGTGCATGTGTTTCTTCTCATGTATGCCCTACAAACATCTATTTATAATGTCCCATTGTTTTATTACTAAAGGCCAGAAAGGAACTGGATTTTCTTGTGTTT